TGAAAAAAAAATTAAAAAAAAATAAAAATAAAAAAATAAAAAAAGAAGCAAGACAGTATATATGTAAAGACATACTTTAAAATGTTTGCACCCCTCCCTCAAAAAAAATTGAGCCTAAATCTAATTAGGCTTCTAGACTAGAGGTAGGCAGACTTTTTCAGGAAAGAGCCAGATGGTAAATATTTTAGATTTGTAAGCCTCTGTCACAAGTACTCAACTCAGAGGTAGCATACAAGCTACATGGATGAGGTATAAATGAAGGTTATGTTCCAATAAACCTTTATTTACTATATCTTGTCCATAGGGCTGTATTTTCTCAAACTGTATTCCAGAGTACAACCTCAATGATTTTATTCTAATTTTTTCTAACGTTAAGTACCTTTTCTACTCGTTAAGTACCTCTACTCGACAAAGAATTGATAGAATATAAGAACTTGGGACAGGATGGTGTGTGTGTGTGTGTGTGTGTGTGTGTGTGTGTGTGTGTGTGTAAGTGTTGAGGGAAATGCAAAGCAAGAAAGGGAGAGGAAAAGAGATGGGAGAGAGGCACGCAGGAGAAACAGATAGATGTATTTAAGAAAGTTTCTCTTAAGTTTTGTTTTCTTGTCACCTCCGTCTTTTCTGTCAAACCCCTCAGGAACGTGAAATCAGGAAACTTCTCAGCTACTACAGAATTCCTCCTCCTGGGACTGTCAGAGGATCCACAACTGCAGCTCCTGCTATTCTGTCTGTTCCTGTCTATGTACCTGGTCTCTGTGTTCGGGAACCTACTCATCATCCTGGCCATTGTGTATGGCTCCCACCTCCACACCCCCATGTACTTCTTCCTCTCCAACCTGTCTTTTGTTGACATCTGTCTCACCTCCACTACCATCCCAAAGATGCTTGTGAACATTGAGACACAGAGCAAATCCATCAGTTACCCAGGCTGCCTCACCCAAATCTGCTTCGTCCTGACTTTTGCTGGATTAGAAAATGGAATTCTGGTAATGATGGCCTTTGATCGATTTGTGGCCATCTGTCACCCATTGAGGTACAAGGCCATCATGAACCCCAAGCTCTGTAGGCTGTTGGTTCTGCTGTCTTTCCTCATTAGTGTTCTGGATGCCCTTCTCCACACTTTGATGGCACTGAGGCTGTCCTTTTGCACAGACCTGGAAATTCCCCACTTTTTCTGTGAATTAGCTCATGTCCTCAAGCTTGCCTGTTCTGATATCCTCATCAATAACATCCTTGTGTACTTAGTGACCAGCCTGTTGGGTGTTGTACCTCTCTCTGGGATAATTATCTCTTACACTCGAATTGTCTCCTCTGTTCTGAAAATCCCATCAGCTGGTGGAAAGTATAAGGCATTTTCCATCTGTGGGTCACACTTAATAGTTGTTTCCTTGTTCTATGGGACAGGTTTTGGGGTATACCTGAGTTCTGCAGCTACTCACTACTCCCGGAAGAGTGCAATAGTATCAGTGATGTATACCGTGGTCACCCCCATGATGAACCCTTTCATCTATAGTCTGAGGAACAAGGACATGATGGGGGCTTTGAGGAAGCTCATCTCTAGAATATCAGCTTCCCATTAATGTGTCAGCTGCTTTGGGCTTACACACACTGCTGCAATTTGACAGAGAGAAATAATGTGCGACCCAGAAAGCCTGACCAACATTGAATATATGAAACCAGAGGTCAAGTGGTGAGGGTAAGAATTTTGGAATCAGACCAGCGGGGTTTGAATCCTACCTCTGCTGAAACAGCCATGTGACTTTTGACAATTTATTTTAACTCTCTAAACTCAGTTTCCTCGTCCATAAAATTGGCATGATTATATTAGTTTATATTTGGAGGGGGTGTGAGATACTTCGACTCAATCAGTGAGGATGCATGCCTTCAACTATAATAAAGCAAAATTCTCAACTCCAATAGGGTCAGATGATAAAAACAATTATCTTTCCTTACAAAAACTTCAGGGATGGGGCACCTGGGTGGCTCAGTCTGTTAGGTGTCTGACTTCAGCTCAGGTCATGATCTTCCTGCTTGTGAGTTTGAGCCCCATTGAGTTGGAGTCCCTGGTCGGGCTCTGTGCTAACAGCTCGGAACTTAAAGCCTGCTTCAGATTCTGTCTCCGTTTGTCTGCCCCTGCCCTGCTCGCTCGCTCTCTCTCTCTCTCTCCCTCCCCCTCCTCAAATATAAAAATAAATAAATAGATAAAACTTCAGGGATATTGTAGGTCCAGGCAGAGAACCACAGGGCTGCATTTCACTCTGCCATGGGTTGGCTTTTGCCTGCAGTCGTCTTCCTGGTGGTCCCTGATGCCTGCAACAGTGCAGAGACCTTTCAGACCCAGAAACGAAAACCAACAGCCTCTCCGTGGGTTTCTTTTCAACACAAACATAATCGTTCCAAGGAGACATCCAGAAGGCATTGTTTTTATCATGAGCCCACATTGAGATAAGTGTCCTGTATTGGTTTCCTATTGCCATTGTAACACCTTACCACAAGCTTAGCCGCTTAAAACAACACGAATGAATTCTGTTGCTGTCTGAAACCAGCTACATGAGCTAAAGTCAAAGTGTTAGGTTCCTTCTGAAAGCTCTTTTGAGAAAAAGCTATCATTTAATTGGTACAGAATTTCTGCTTGGGATGATAAAAATGTTCAGGAGATGGATAGTGGTAATAGTCATACAACATTGTGAATATTCTTTTTTTTTTTAATTTTTTTTTTTCAACGTTTATTTATTTTTGGGACAGAGAGAGGCAGAGCATGAACGGGGGAGGGGCAGAGAGAGAGGGAGACACAGAATCAGAAACAGGCTCCAGGCTCTGAGGCATCAGCCCAGAGCCTGACGCGGGGCTCGAACTCACGGACCGCGAGATCGTGACCTGGCTGAAGTCGGACGCTTAACCGACTGCGCCACCCAGGCGCCCCAACATTGTGAATATTCTTAATGCCATGGAATTGCACACTTAAAATGGCTGAAATAGTAAATTTTATGCTATACATATTATACTACTACTCCTCCCCCCAAAAAAATCCATTCCAATGTACCAAAGCGTTAAACACAAGAATCAGAGGGATTAAATATTTCAGAAGATGATATAAGAAAATATTTTTATTACCACAGAGAAATGAAGCATTTCTTAAAAGAATGAGCACAATCCAAAAGGTAAAGACTAAGAAATTCAAGCACTTTGGGGCACCTGGGAGGCTCAGTTGGTTAAGCATCCTACTTCGGCTCAGGTCATGATCTCGCGGTTCATGGGTTCGAGCCCTGCGTCGGGCCCTGTGCTGACAGCTCAGAGCCCAAAGCCTGCTTCAGATTCTGTGTCTCCCTCTCTCTCTGCCCCTCCCCGACTCACGCTCTGTCTCTGTCTCTCAAAAATAAATAAACGTTAAAAAAAATGTTTAAAAAGAAATTCAAGCACTTTACAAATGAGCCACTAAAACAAGTGACTCATTAAATGAAAATTCAGAAATGTTCTTTCAATATCACAAGAATAAAAAAGCAGGGAAAATAAACTTCCCCGAAATATTTCCTGATGAGATCTTGCTCACCCTGCCAATATCAATATGATTTTAATAGCACAGACACACCTATTAATATATTCCAGCACAATAAAAAATCAATCCTTTTCTTCCCTCCCCTGGTAACCACATTCTACTTTCTGTCTTTATGAATTTGCCTATTCAAGGTACCTTAAACTAAAATTATACAATATTTGTCCTTTTTTATCTGGCTCATTTCACTAATGTTTTCAGGGTTCATCCGTATTGTAGCACCTGTCAGGATTTCATTCCTTCTTATGGCTGAATTATGTATATATGGTTCACACCTACAATTCTCAGGCTTCCTGATATCATTGATTACATACAGATGCCATTGGTTCCATCTTAAAATTTTTTTTAATGTTTTTTCATTTTTGAGAGACAGAGACAGATTGTGAGCAGGGGAGGGACAGGGAGAGAGGGAGACAGAGAATCTGAAACAGGCTCCAGACTCCAAGCTGTCAGCAGAGAGCCCCATGCGGGGCTTGAACTCACAAACTGTGAGATCATGACCTGAGCCAAAGTGGACCCTTAACCAACTGAGCCACCCAGGTGCCCCCATTGGTTCTATCTTTAAAAAAAGGAACACTGGAACTCAGCCAAGGAGGGCAGGTCCACATTTGCAAGCTCTGTGATATAGATGTGAGCAGAAACAGAGAAATGAGTGGTGAACACCTAGACTCATAAGATCAACCATCTGGAATTCCTCATTTCTGTTGTTTTAGTCTTAAGAGAATTTGCACTGCCTTGGGATCAGAATGACAATATAATTGTTTGGCTAATGAAGAGCTTTGGGTATTGATCCTCCAGAGGCACAGAGACTATAAATTGTTACATCCTCACTCAACAGCCCTGCCCCAGTAAAGACACAGCATACCTGTGTCTCATCCCAGCAATGATCCCGTTTGCCCAGGGGCCTGGTGCTTCGATTGGTCCCTTTCCTCTTCCTATGGATAGAGCTCTGGTCTCTATCATTCAACACCTAGCAGAGTCGACCTGCATTATTCCACAGTGATGTCACCTAGGTAAACCGATGTCCCATAGCGTTTGGAGATGAGGGCATGTATTTTACTACGTTTATCCAGCAGAAACTTTGAGAAGAGTACATACATAAAAGGATTAAAATCAAGATATCTGTTTGCCTCCTTCCTGTCTTCTATCTTGTTGACATGTTCCCTTGTATCTTTCCTCCAATCCCCAAATAGTTATCATTCTGCCAGTCCCCTATTTTCTCTCTATAAGGAAATACTATTTTCCTTCTCAGTAAGAACATGCTCATTTGCAAATACGGTGATTGTTACCAAGAGGTAGCTTGGGCATTTTCCCTCTTTTAATTCCTTATTCTCTTTGCCAGGCTGTGAGGTCTCTGTGGAAGGAGCTGGAGATCCAGATAGACTTAGCAGTCTGATTACCTGTTTCTTGTAATAAAGCTATCAAATGGTTTTGTATTTTATTTTACTTTTATTTATTTTTTTTAACATTTATTCATTTTTGAGAGACAGAGAGGGGCGCCTGGGTGGCTCAGTCGGTTAAGCGTCCGACTTCAGCCAGGTCACGATCTCGCGGTCCGTGAGTTCGAGCCTCGCGTCAGGCTATGGGCTGATGGCTCGGAGCCTGGAGCCTGTTTCCGATTCTGTGTCTCCCTCTCTCTCTGCCCCTCCCCCGTTCATGCTCTGTCTCTCTCTGTCCCAAAAATAAATAAACGTTGAAAAAAAAAAAAAAAAAAAAAAAAAAAAAAGAAAGAAAAAGAGAGACAGAGAAAGAGCATGAGCCAGGAAGGGTCAGAGAGAGAAGGAGACACAGAAACCAAAGCAGGCTTCAGGCTCTGAGTTGTCGGCACAGAGCCCAACGTGGAGCTTGAACTCATGAATTGTGAGATCACGACCTGAGCCAAAGTCAGATGCTTAACCGACTGAGCCACCCAGGTGCCCCCAAATGTTTCAAATGATCAAAACAGGATGAGTAGTGTAATTTTAAAAATGACAATTCCTCAACTCTTTCCAGAATTAACAAATGTTGACTCGTTGCTTTACTAACTTTAAATCTTTCTTCAAAATAACAAAATAATATGCATAAAGAGGGTATCTCTCTCCGTTTAAGTCTTTCCTTTCCCAACATGGTGCTTGCATTTGGTGATACTCCTGCTTGCCCAGGAATCAACATTTCATTGCCTTGTTACCACATCATTTCCATCAGATTCATCAACAATATGGAACTCAGAAATGAAACAAGCATTCTAGAATTTCTTCTCATGGAAGTGACAGAGAATCCAGAACTGCAGTCCCTCATCTTCAGCCTGTTCCTGTCCATGTATCTGGTCACCATCTTGGGAAATCTGCTCATCATCTTGGCTGTTAGCTTGGACTCCCACCTCCACACCCCCATGTACTTCTTCCTCTCCAACCTGTCTTTTGTTGACATCTGTCTCACCTCCACTACCATCCCAAAGATGCTTGTGAACATCGAGACACAGAGCAAATCCATCAGTTACACAGGCTGCCTCACCCAAATCTGCTTTGTCTTGGTTTTTGCAAGTTTGGACAGTTGTATTCTTTCAGTAATGGCCTATGATCGCTATGTGGCCATTTGTCATCCACTGAGGTACAATGTCATTATGAACTCCCATCTCTGTGGCCTTTTCATTCTTCTTTCCCTGTTTATTAGCATCGTGGATGCCCTGGCGCACAGTCTGGGGGTGGTGCAGCTGACCTTCTGTGCAGACCTTGATATCCCTCTCTTCTTCTGTGAAGTTGTTCAGGTCATCAAGCTCGCCTGTTCTGACACCCTCATCAATAACATCCTGATATATTTTGCAACTAGTATATTTGGGGGTATCCTTCTGTGTGGAATCATTTTCTCTTATACTCAGATAGTGTCCTCTGTTTTGAGGATGCCACCAGCAGGTGGAAAGTATAAAGTACGTGTGGGTCTCACCTCTCAGTTGTCTTTGTTCTATGGGACAGGTTTTGGAGTCTACATTAGTTCTGCCCTTGCTGACTCTTCCAGAAATGCTGCAATGCTTTCAATGATGTACACTGTTGTCCCTCAAATGATGAACCCTTTCATCTACAACCTGAGGAACAGGGCGTGAAGGGAGCCTTGAGGAAACTGATAAGTAGAACTTCTCTTCTGTGACTGTGTTATCTGCGTGGACTGGGGTTTCTAGAATGAGTCAAGGTGACAGAAATATTGGGTGAGCCAGAATGCCTGATTCTTGCATCCCCAAGTTCTTCTAAAATGACTATAGAACACGATGGGTAGTTTCATCTTAACTTTGGGTTGAAACTTTATTTGTTCTTTGTACAATTCTGTGATGTTTCAAGAATGAGTTCCATTGTCAAACTCAGTTTCTTTGGTCAGGTCCATAAAGCTGAACCCAAGGTAGGGCATTTAGTGATTTTGTTTGAACACTCAAAGAAAAGAAGTTGGATGGATCATGGAGAGGATCCAAATAAGTCTGTTGTCATAGAGACAAAATTCTGCCAATTCCATAGATTATTATGCTTTTTGAACTGCGCCTCGAAAGTAAGCCTGCTGTGAAACACAGGAGGAGCTGATCTTTTATACCTAATTTGGCAATTGCCTGAGTGATCACTGGTAAACTGTATCTGTGCAAAGACACTATCAGCATCTGTTACTACACTCAATTTCATCATCTGTAAAATTGCTATTATCTGATTATCTCAGTGGCTTGAGATGATAGTGAAATGATTTATCTTAATTAGTAAACAAAACAAAACCCTTTGTTCCTGCTAAAAGAAAGTAACTGTGCCTCTAAAAGACACAAGCAATAAAGAATGTTATATATATATTTTTAAGTTTTTATTTTAATTCCAGTTAGTTAACATATAGGGTTATATTAGTTTCAGGTGTATAATATAGTGATTCAACACTTCCATACATTACCTGGTGCTCATCATGAGAAGTGTCCTCTTTTTTTTTTTTTTTAAATTTTTTTTTCAACGTTTATTTATTTTGGGGACAGAGAGAGACAGAGCATGAACGGGGGAGGGGCAGAGAGAGAGGGAGACACAGAATCGGAAACAGGCTCCAGGCTCCGAGCCATCAGCCCAGAGCCTGACGCGGGGCTCGAACTCACGGAGCGCGAGATCGTGACCTGGCTGAAGTCGGACGCTTAACCGACTGCGCCACCCAGGCGCCCCGAGAAGTGTCCTCTTAACCCCATCACTCATTTCACCCATCCTCGCCCCCCCACCTCCCCTCTGGTAATCATCAGTTTGTTCTCTATAGTTAATCTATTTCTTAGTTTGCCTCTCTCTCTTTTTTTCCCTTTGCTTGTTTTGTTTCTTCAATTTCACATATGAGTGAAATCATATTTATCTTTCTCTGACTGAGTTATGTCACTTAGCATAATATTCAAGTGCTCTGAATGGCAAGATTTCATTCCTCTGAAGCAGGCTCCAGGCTCCAGGCTCTGAGCTGTAAGCACAGAGCCTAATGTGGAGCTCGAACCCATGAACTGCAAGATCATGACCTGAGCCAAAGTCGAAATTGTGAATCTTGCCATTCATGGAGCCCTTGAATATATGATATGATATGATATGATATGATATAAAAAATATAATATAATATATATAATATACCATGTCTTTATCCATTAGTCTATCAATGGACACTTAGGCTGTTTCCATAATTTGGCTATTGCAAATAATGCTGCAATAAACATCAGGGTGCATGCATGTATCTCTTTAAATTAGTGTTTTTGTATTTTTTCGGTAAATATCCCGTAGCACAATTACTGGATCATGGGGTAGTTCTATTCTTAACTTTTTGAGGAACCTTCATACTGTTATCCACAGTGGCTGTACCAGTTTGCATTCCCACCAACAGTGCATGACGGTTTCTTTTTCTCCACATCCGTGTCAATGCCTATGGTTTCTTGTGTTATTGATTTTAGCCAAGGAATGTTATATTATTTTTTTTTAATGTTTATTTTTGAGAGAGAGAGACTGAGCATAAGTGGGGGAGGGGCAGAGAGAGGGAGACACAGAATCCGAAGCAGGCTCTAGGCTCTGAGCTGTCAGCACAGGGCCCGACACAGGGCTCGAACCCACAAATGGTGAGATCATGACCTGAGCCGAAGTTGGACACTTAACTGACTGAGCCACCCAGGCGCCCCTGGAACGTTATATGTTCTTAAAATTTTTTTTTAATGTTTATTTATTTTTGAGAGAGACAGAGACAGAATGCGAGTGGGTTACACTCTGTGTCAGAGACACAGAATCCAAAGCAGGCTTCAGGCTCTGAGCTGTCAGCACAGAGCCCAATGCAGGGCTTCAACTCACAAGCTGTGAGATCATGACCTGAGCCGAAATCGGATGCTCAACTGACTGAGCCACCCAGGCGCCCCAGAAATGTTATATATTCTTGATAACTACTTAAGAGGTAGGGAATATAGAGGAAAAATTATTCATTTTTCCATGTGGTGATTGTGTCTAAGGCTTGTTTCCATCCCGGACACTGATGGCTGCAACAGATACAGGCATCTTATCCAGATACGATGCCCGAAGACAGACATCTGTCGAACTCTGGCTCTAGTGTTACTTGACATTGCCTGGAATCATCCTGAATATATCCCCTTTAATCTATTCCCTGAGAATAGGATTGTATGCCATCCACTTAATGTAACCTTGGTGTGGCAAAAATAATTACTGATTGTATGAAATGTAACTCCTGCTGATGAGTCTACCCTCAAAAGCATTGTAAACACTTAGGACAACACATGACGTGTAGCAAGTACTCCACAAGATTTAACTGTTATCATTGTGTTCCATATTTTACATGGCTTAATATAGCCTATATATTCTTAAGTCTTGTCTTCTCACATATTTTTACCGCTGGCTTTAGCAATTTGCTTCATTTTGTTATAGTTATTGTGTTTTTTTTTAATGTTTTTTAAATTTATTTTTGAGACAGAGAGAGACAGAGCATGAGCAGGGGAGGGGCAGAGAGAGAGGGAGACACAGAATCCAAAGCAGCCTCCAGGCTCCGAGCTGTCAGCACAGAGCCCAACGTGGGGCTTGAACTCACAGACCGCGAGATCATGACCTGAGCTGAAGTCGGATGCTTAACCGACCAAGCCACCCAGGCGCCCCTATAGTTATTGTTTTTTAATGTTTATTTATTTTTGAGAGAGAGAGAGAGAGAGAGAGAGAGAGAGAATGAATGAATGAATGAATGAATCTGAAGCAGGCTCCAGACTTTGAGCTGTCAGCACAGAGCCTGATGTGGGGTTCGAACCCACGAACCATGAGATCATGACCTGAGCCAAAGTCGGACACTTAACCGACCAAGCCACTCAGGCACCCCTCTTTAATTTCTTTCATAAGTATTCTATAGTTTTCAGAGTACAGATCTTTAACCTCTTTGGTTAGCATCATTCTTAGGTATCTTACTGTTTTTGGTTTTCAATGTATTATTTATATCAATATATACGAACTATACTTTCACAACTAAAATTGGTATCAGACTTACTGATGTCATTCTTTGGATAGAGATCCCTTCATTAATAGCTAAAAAAAAAAAAAAAAGCAGACTGCATTTCAATTAGTGAAGGATGGTGTACCTATATTTGCAAAGGATTGAAATGGAGATGAACAGACCCAGATGGACATGGTGTACGCCTGGTCTTATGGGGTCAAGAAGGCACCGTCTGTAATTCCACCGTTCTAGAGTCTTGGTCTTTAAGGATTTACACTGCCCTGGGATCTCTGTGACAATAAAATTTCTTGGTTAATGAGGAGCTTTGGAAATTAAACCTCCAGGGATACAGAGACTGCAATCTGCCTGTGCCCACCTCGTTCAACAATTCCTCCCGTGAAAAGTAGTAGCATAGCTGAGTCTCCTCCCATAGATGATCTGTCTTGTTAGGAGCTTGGGTCTCCCTCAATCCCTCTGCCCTTCCTGAGGGCAGATCTTCCATATGGTACATCAGAGATGGCAGTCATCCTTCCACTATGATGCCAACCAGGTAACCTAACACCCCTTACTCAATGTTTAGAAATGAGGGCAGGTGTTTGACTACAGGTTCATCCAGGGGAAGCTGTGAAGAGAGCACACACACCACATGATTGAAACCAACTCACCCAGGGTCCTCCCGTTTGTCCGTTGTCTTCTTCACGTGTTTCCTCATGCTTTTTATTAATGCTCCATTTACTAATATCATACTCACTCTCGAGTGTGGCCAGGACCATTTCTTCCTGAACAGAAATCTGTCTTTCAAAAAACATGATGACTGTTATAAAATTTTCTGACATTTACTTGCAGTTTAGAAGTGGTAAGAGGGCAGGAAGTTTGGAAAAGTTCACCTTGACATATGTATGTATTATCTCAGTTGCCTGCCTATGACATCTCTGGGGATCCAGACAGACTCTTAAGCTGCCTCACCAGTTTGTTTCTTTTTATAAAATCACCAAATGTTTTAATAAACAGAGCATCATAAACAATGTAGTTGTAAAAAATGACTACCTAGTCACCCTTTCCAGATTTAACAATTGTTGATGCTCTACTCTATCAGCTTCAGTCTTTTTCATTTTTTTTTTTAAATTTTTTTTTTTAACATTTATTCATTTTTGAGACAGAGAGAGACAGAGCATGAACGGGGGAAGGTCAGAGAGAGAGGGAGACCAGAATCCGAAACAGGCTCCAGGCTCTGAGCTGGCAGCACAGAGCCCGATGCGGGGCTCGAACTCACAGACCGCGAGATCATGACCTGAGCGGAAGTCGGACGTCCAACCGACTGAGCCACCCAGGCGCCCCTCTTTTTCATTTTTATTTTTTTTTTATTTTTAAAAATTTTTTTTTCCACGTTTTTATTTATTTTTGGGACAGAGAGAGACAGAGCATGAACGGGGGAGGGGCAGAGAGAGAGGGAGACACAGAATCGGAAACAGGCTCCAGGCTCTGAGCCATCAGCCCAGAGCCTGACGCGGGGCTCGAACTCACGGACCCCGAGATCGTGACCTGGCTGAAGTCGGACGCTTAACCGACTGCGCCACCCAGGCGCCCCTCTTTTTCATTTTTAAAGAAACAGAATAATCCACATACAGAAGGCACCCGTATCTTACTCCTCTCTATAAGTCTCCATCCCATCCCAAGATGGTTTTTGCCTCCAGTGATGCTCCTCCTGCCAGTCTCGGAAACACACATTTGATTAAATCTCTTTTCCATCAGATTAATCACCAATATGGAATCTAGAAATGACACACATGTTTCAGATTTCCTTCTCATGAAAGTGACAGAGGATCCAGAACTGCAGTCCCTCCTATTCAGCCTGTTCCTGTCCATGTACCTGGTCACCATCCTGGGAAACCTGCTCATCATCCTGGCTGTCACCTCGGACTCCCACCTCCACACGCCCATGTACTTCTTCCTCTCCAACCTGTCCTTTACTGACATCTGTTTAAGCACAACCACGATCCCAAAGATGCTGGTGAACATCCAGGCACAGAGTCAGAGCATCACTTATGCAGGATGCCTCACCCAGATCTACTTTGTTCTAGTTTTTGCAAGTTTAGAAAGTAGTCTCCTTGCAGTAATGGCCTATGACCGCTATGTGGCCATTTGTCATCCACTAAGGTACACAGTCATCATGAAGCCCTGCCTCTGTAGTCTGCTGATTCTACTCCCCCTGTTCATTATCATCGTGGATGCCCTGGTGCACAGTCTGATGGTGTTGCAGCTGACCTTCTGCACAGACGTCGAAATCCCTCTCTTCTTCTGTGAGGTTGTTCAGGTGATCAAGCTCGCCTGTTCTGACACCCTCATCAATAACATCCTGATATATTTTGCAACTAGCGTATTTGGTGGTATTCCTTTATGTGGAATCATTTTCTCTTACACTCAGATAGTGTCCTCTGTTTTGAGGATGCCATCCGTGGGCAGAAAGTATAAAGCGTTTTCTACGTGTGGGTCTCACCTGTCAGTTGTGTCTTTGTTCTATGGGACAGGTTTGGGGGTGTACATTAGTTCTGCTTTTACTAACTCTTCCAGAAACACTGCAGTGCTTTCAATGATGTACACTGTTGTCCCTCAAATGATGAACCCTTTCATCTACAGCCTGAGGAATAGGGACATGAAGGGAGCCTTGAGGAAACTGATAAGTAGAACTTCTCTTCTGTGACTGTGTTATCTGTGTGGACTGGGGTTTCTAGAATGAATCAAAGTGACAGAAATATTGGCTGAGCCAGAATGCCTGATTCTTGCATCACCAACTTCTTCTGAATTGACTAGGTAACATCATGGGCAACTTGATTGTAATTTTGGGTTGAAATTTGATTTGTTCTTTGTATAGCTCTGTTGTATTTCAAAAATAAGTTTTCATTCCTAAACTTGGTGTTTTTGGTAGATTCCTCACAAGCTGTCCCAAGGCAAGGGTTATACTGAAATGTTAAAAGAGAAGTGGGGTTGGGGCGCCTGGGTGGCGCAGTCGGTTAAGCGTCCGACTTCAGCCAGGTCACGATCTCGCGGTCCGTGAGTTCGAGCCCCGCGTC